AACTGACAGAGCAACTCACTGCTAGCGTGTTTTTTACACTATTACATTTTTTCCTTATATCCCCATACCTGTCAATTGTTTCCCATTCGTTTCCTTTTAACTTGTACTGACATGGTAAATTCTTGGAGGCAGGTGCTGGGTTTAGTTATTTGTTTTGCTTGTAAAGCACTAACCACAGCAAATTAGCTTTAACAAGTACTGTTGCTCATGACCGTCTCTTTGTAATGCCATAAAACTGGTGGTTTTCCTACACCACTGTTCCTCTCCTCTTCTCTGCCAAACCGATCCGCTTTGGGTTATCACGATCTTTAATCCAACCCAATTCACTTGCCTGATAGGTAATCTGCTACCACATAGATTTACGGTGAGCCACTTGAATAGTGCAAAACGCCCATTCCCCGGTCTGACTGCGCCACAGAAGACCCCAAGTCCTGCCTCACCATGGGTTCCGCCTCTTCCAGGCAAGGAGACAGGCTGCGTAATACCACCTCTCACCTTTTCCTTCAAAGTCCAGTGAGCTTCTGTCTGCTTGCACTGTTTTCAGTTCCTAAAATTTCTAGCCAAGTTATGCAGGCAGATATTCTTTATCTTAATCACACAGAGTGGAAATACTGACTCCTATATGTTAACACCATTCATCCACGCGGGCCACATGCTCTATCGCGATGAATAGACTACGGCACTCCAAAACTCATATATTCCCCAAAACTCATATATTCCCCACTCCCACAACTTCTTATGCCATGGGGCGCATTCTGGATGTGGCATTAAAAGAACAGTTTCAAGCAGAATGTTCAATGGACAAAACCCCATTACTTTATGCACTGTTGCCTCTGAATAACCTCAGATCACAAAGAGTCCCAAACAACTGAAATTTGAATTAAAATGAGAAAAAGCAAGAGCTGCTTCTTCTAGCAATTATACCTTACTTACCTAATAATTGGCAGTTTTTTACATTTACATATACAGAGATTAACAGTACACACATAATAAAGAAAATGGCAGTGGTAGGAACTCTTGGTGCTGGCAATCGTCAGAAACAGAAAATCCATTAGAATAAATTTAAAAAGAGATAGACTACACTTTACAGCTTAGTAACTATTTCAAACTAAATAGATGTTGCAAAAGAAATAAAAAGAAATTTAAAAAAACCTACCCTTCTTTTTATACTTATTAAAGTGGCGCCGTCCTTTGCCAGTAAGCCAAAAACAAACAGAATGAAAATAAAATAATGAAAAACCCACAGAAGGAGAACAGGAAAAGAAACGGCAAATAACATAAATCTGAATCATTAGAGTTCTTAAAATCAGATTAAAAAGTCAACTGTTCAAACATGGCACAAATTTCTGGTTTAAAAAATCCAAAAGCCTTCAATCCATTTAGATTATAATATCAAACACATTTCTCATTATATTGCATAATCAGCTAAAAGTATCTTCTCAATGGCAACATCATGGCGGCTGACACGACCTACTTGACTCAGTTCTTTTCCTTCTTTTCCAAACGAGACACCATCTCTTAACAGGCTACGCTCCTCATGTCAATGTAGAAACCCCATGTGATGGTACCTTGTTTCACCTTTTCAGATTAACTTAATTGTGTTTACGATGCAAATACTAGTATTTTAACAATGCAATATTAAAGGAGGCTCTGAGCACATTTGCAAAACAGCATATGACAGCATCTTTGGAAGCACTTCTTTAAAAGGAGTGGAAGAGTTGCATGCCCTTCAAGGATATTACAAGATGAAATGAAACTACAGCCAACTTCAAGGCACTTCAAGAAACCCACCTCATTGTAACACTGAACTCTACGAATGGTGAAAAGCAGGACACGATGAAGGATGCCTGGTGCGGATTTACCACAGAACTTGGCAGCTGCAAGACCAAACTATTATCTGATATTAACAGTGGGAACACTACGTAAGAAGGACATTCTTGATACAACTGGGTGGTTATGTCACAGAAGTTACAGAAAGATAGAGATGAACGTAAAAAAAGTGACAACACACCAAAATAACATAATCATAGCTGTGTGTCTGATTCTTTATTTGATCCTTGGCCACAGCACTGGTTCTTATCAAGAACTCCTACAGGTAACTGTGAACAGGGGGTTATTCACAATGCAGTTCAATTTATAGCAAATCTTCCACTGGCTTTAACTATGCACATTTTCTTTACCAGGCAGCATTCCACCCACTGAATCATCTTTTTATTTTCAGTCTTTCTTTTTCTTTAAATGCCATACTTTATCCACATGAGATTAAAGAATGTATCATTACCTTTTTTGTGTCTTAGATACAATTCTTAATTAGGTTAAATACCAAACAATTTCAGAGGGAATCTTGCCTGAGAAAGGATAAAGTAAACCAAGTGGTACTGGCTAAGGATAAGTTATTTCCAGAGATATGGGTGAGAAATAATCCCCCTGAGAATTTGGCAAGAGTGTTTGAGAGGGTGAAATTGCCTCCACTTCAGGGTTTGAAAGTGTATTTCAGCCTGGGGGTTAGGCCAAAAGTTCATCTCTTTCTAATAGTTTTCATGGTATTTTCCCGGAGTGAATGGATCTGAAGTCAAATCTGTGGTGTCTCTCATAGGTTTCCTTCATTTTCATCTTTCAGAACTACACAGATGGAGCAAAGTAATTGAAGGAGTACCTGCATACTGTCTGCAAATAGTTTGCAGATGACTTCTCTCAAGAGTCATTGCTTCTGATGCCCTCGGGATCAGCCCTGCAACAGGTGATTCACTGCTATAAAGGATCAGCTTCAGATCTGCCAAACTTGGGTTTCACCCAGTGTCAAGCTCTTTTTCAGAATCAAGTTCTAAAAGCTACCTGAGGAGCTTATTCACGTTTTCTCCACATCTAAGCCATGCCTGAAATTATTCTACAGTGGAGAACTGAGAAATTGAAAGATGTGTTGCAAGGGAAATAATTACTAAAAAAACAAATCAGAAGGGAAGAAAATTATTATTCCTCTATACTAGTGAGAGCTTACATATAAACTTAACATTACGGTAAACGTGTATTAAATGTGTTCATATATACAATATGCTAGAAAAGATTCAATTCTCTATGTCATTCTACTGTGTTTTACCATGCACACAAGCCCAATCTTGATTTCTGCCTTCGGAAATTGCTCTCACATATAAACAACAGTCAAGTAAGCAGAAAAATCTGTGGACATGAGAAGAGGTGTCCCAGTGCCCGGGGAACAGGCGAGGCACAGAGTCCTCACACCCTGACTCGGCTGCGCGCTTCGGGGTACGTCCCGTAGTAGAAAGATGCGCAGCTACGTGCTTGCGCGGAAACGCGGCAGTTCTGCCAACACACCCCTTTTGTCATTTTACTTCTATGTAGTTTTTCAGGCTGCTTTGTTCTTTAGAAATACCGTGATGTCTGACAAGAAAACGGCAAAAGACTTGAAAGAAGCTTCCAAGAAACCATTTGCGCTTTTGAGGGGAAAAGAGACAGCACAGAAAGGACAAAGCAGGAAGCAGAGGGAATGTACTGGGGGTAGAAATCTGACAGACACAGTTTGACAAGTACCCTCTGAGAAAGTATTCCTCTGACGTAGCCTGAACGAAGTCTTTTCCAGCGTTGACATGGAACACAGCGTCACACAGGGGTTCAGTACACAACGCAGGATTGTTCCACAATTCAAAATGCAAACGAGTTGATTTAATGGCCATGTATGGGTGAAGAGTGGCAGTGAAGTACACAGTCACCACACGCGTACCTTCACAGGTTAACACCACAGAAAAGCAGAGAGCTGCCAGCGTGTATTTATAGCACACGCTATCACACCGTTCACTCTGCAATATACAGATACCTCCTCTCTCTACTTGCCGAGTGCCTTAATTTCTCAGGTAGGCAAACGACATGCATGCTCTATTTGAAGCATTCTTTAAAATGAATAGGGCTAGCATTGAAATAACATCATTAGTTTCCCAGGGCCTTGTGGATCCTTTGTTTTCTTGTTTTCTTTTTTTTTTTTTTGGTACTGGGGCACCTTCAAGAGCCAAACAGGGAGACACAAAATGGAAATTTGGAAATTATTCACTCCACTACAGTTATAACAGCTATTCAAGGAGTAATTCATAGACATGCATGGGCGTGCTGGACGCCACCGTGCTCCATCAGCAGAAGAGGTGGGGTGCAACAAACTGTCCTCAGGACTGGGTCGGGAGTCTAAGAAGAAATGAGCACGTTTCTAAGGACATTGTCGGCATTTCAGAAAGCTTTCCAACCCCAGGCTTTCCTCCTTGAACACTAGTGTGCCTAAATCTCACACAAACTGAGAAGGAAGCAAACTGCAAAATGTTGTGACTGTGCTCAGGAACAACAGGGAATATCACCAAATCACTGAATTTACACAACATATGTGCTCCTAGCGGTATAAACAGAAGAGGTCCTTCTTTGTGAAGCTTTTCCCTACGACAGCTATCCCAAACTCTCAGTAAAAACTCAGCTCTGTTTAATTCCCTTGATGATAATCATGCATGTCTCAGTTTTAGTCGTTAAAATTTACAATTAACCCTTAAGAAAAGGTTGATAAAGTGCTACTTATTTTCCTAAAAATGGCAAACTTCCTTTGGTAAAAGAGTAATAACATATGCAAGAAAGATGCTATGTACTAGAAGTAACACTCAGCCAAGCCAAAATATACATTACATGCTATCAATGAAGACAATTAGTCTTCTGTTGCAGACAGTTAATCAGAAAGCATTGATGATAATTCATCCGCTTTTACAGAAAATAAATATTTTCTGCCATTTCTGCCTATTACCTTTGACACACAAAAAAGCTGTAGTTATGCAAGCTCATCAGCAATGTAGCAATGCTTCCATTTGATCATATTAAACTAAGAGATCTAAGAAAAAAAAAAGTGTATTGATCTATTGGAATCTAGCCTGGACACATGCTAACTAGCAGGCACTGTCAATCCATACATCACAAACACACACTGTGGTTATTTGTAAACATGGGGAAAACGATACCTTTAGCACAATCTGCTCCGTGAAATCCTGGGAAACAGTGGCAGACACCCGATACACACTCGCCATTCCCGTGACAATTACGTGGGCAGTCTTGCACCGAGTCTGAAATATAAGCATCACAGGCACATTAGTAGGTTCCTATTTAGGCTACAAATCCTCCGCTTAAGTTTTCTTCAGCATATTTCGTCTTTCACGCTTCGAAGACCAACCCCTAATAGCATTAACACCGTGAAGTTCAAGTGAAGAAGGAAGGCACCAAGTTTTGTAACAGCATGAGTAATTGTAGAGATGCAGCGACACACTGAGCTCGCCCATTCAGTCTCTGAGCACCATTAGAAGTCGAGGTCTTCTGGCAGTGCCCAAGCCCTCATCTGTTCCAACAGGTAGACAGGACTGCCTCTGAAGACCTCTACAGCTATGTCTGAACTCATACTATGCAGGAAACACAACGCTTCATGCGGAAAATCGACAATCTCCCATTTGCAATCAGACTTTGGTCTTAAACAACCACTCTTCACGTGAAACTGATTATCCCAAGGAGTCTATCTTCTTTTCCTTCTAGAGACATTTAAAGCCTCATTAATTAAGCTGACAAATAGCTGTTGAACATGACAAAAAGGAGCTCTTTTGCTCTGGCAAATTCTCTTTATCTTACAAAAAAATGAATAAAAATGGTGCAAGCAGCTATGTAAGAGGATGAAGAAGAGGTCTGTAAAAACAGAAGACAAGGTTTAACACAAAAGTTCCAGTGACTGAAGCGTTGATGACTTCAGTAGTCTGAGACGAGTAAGCATCAGCCTGATAATAACATTTCAGCTGTACCGAAATACTTATTTTCCACATTTTCTGCTACTATTTGGATAATATATACACTAGTTCGCATAATAACAACCTAGAAATAAAATTCCAATCTTGACTTGAATTCTTAAAATAACTTCCATTTGAAAGCTGCTGGATTTCGGTGGAACATATTTTCAACACAGAATTATCGGAATGAAAATCTAATTGCAATGTTGTTACTCTTTATATTATGCCCTGTTGTGGTGGGACCTGTGGTCCCAAACTAAATGGCTCTGTCAGTCCCAGACACCAAGCAGACAGCAGCTGTACGACACAGAAAATTAAGTCTGGATGTGGAACTAGCAGAACCATACTGAGTATTCTTCTTTCAAGTAAAACTGAAAAGAGGAAAAAGATTAGAGGAAAACTTTAAATCTAATTTCACAGTTGCAGGTCATTAGCTTGACCTCTTGAAATGATTCATGCAAACAATGAACAGAAAAATTGAAACCTAATGCTCAAAGATATCAATTTGTCTCATGAAGAAGCCTGTCTATAGATTTATTCGTTATTTTACCTCATGGCACACAAAAGCATTTTCTATGTATTTAAAACAATGGTAAATTTAGTATTGTTGGGGAGTTAACATGATTTCTGTTATTCTTTCTCCTGTTCCACATCACAGAAGCTTTCAGCTGTCTCCGATCTCTTGATGATGAGATGTCTGATATTAGGTGTGTGTCAAAGAACCTCTGAACTGGATGAAACACTATACTTTTCTCTACATTTCGGTCCAATTACTACTATTGCTCTATCAAGTAGCCTAACCGACTATTACACTTCTGATGCTCTCGAAGGCTCTAGCCTAGACTAGGCAACTCTTTTAAGGACAGCTTATCATAGCTGAAGGTTTTCTAAGAACAATTGGGGCATAACAAGATATAAGCACAGATGTTCCTTATATTTTTGAAGGAGCAGAAGCGGTCTTCTATGGCAAATATCTACCTATATATATATATATATATATCAGCACACATAGCACCTAGTAACTCTTAGAAAGCCACATACAAACTATGGAAGACAAATATTTTTTTCATGTTGATTAACCAAAAGAACTGTATTCATATTTAATGACACAGTATTGGCTAACCTCCTACACTCTTTGGGATCTATGCCAAAAAAATGAATGTTATGCTAATGTAAGAAGAAAAAAACCTAAGCTTCATATCATTAATCAGGCAAGACCAGATAAGATCTCCAACTACTTGTCATCAAGCTTAAAAACTCACTTGGACTTTTTGCAGTTCCTCTTTCCTTAAACCT